ATCATTTTTATAACTATATTCTAAAATAGTTTAAATTTCCAAAATGGATAATTTTTTAACCTATTCTAGTGAAATCCAGAGGTACTGCACTGAAGTGGTTTTTCCTAACAGAAAATAAGGTTCAACTGTGTACCAGTAACCAATCAATTACAATATTTTTCAAATGAAGTTGTGTTCTGGTATTTATTTCATTGGGGTCAGGCTCATGCCTACTTGAAGAACTCAGCTACCTCCCATATTTATCAGAAGACCATTTAGATGGAAAACAGCAGTTATTGTAATCGTCGATTTCATTACATACACATGCTATGAGTCAGATTTACAGAGAAGGTTTTTGAGTGTCATAGTTTAAGGTGGAGTAAAAGAGAAGAGGAAGAGAAAACTGCCACGACTGTTAAGGAAGGAAAATAATATGGATCATTCATAGGTAAAGTTTGGTTGCAAATGCTAATCGTATTTGCACTTCTAGATATACTGTGTTTGAATCCTACTGTTACAGTTTCCTGCTGTTCCATTAAAACCAGAGGAACGAGAAGTAAACAACATGTATAACAACACAAGCAGTTTTGTTCAGTCGCTGTCTGAAACTGGAAACTCAATTCCTCTTGGTACTATAGTTTAGACAGTGCCTTAACTTAATGATCACAACATACAAGAAGAAGCAGCAGTGATGATGTTTGTAAATCCCAACAAGAGTGTCAACATTAAAAGCACCTCACACTTTGACACAGTTAATGACATATCTGCTGAACATCTGCATCTTTCAGGTCAATTAAACATTCACAGTTGAAAACCTTCAGGTCTGTCGAGCCTTGTTATTCAGTCAGGCTTTTTGAATTTTGGTAAAGCTGATGAGAATATTTTCACATCCAGCTTTGACTTAAATTGTTATAATATTGCACGATAAACCTTTTCAGGTATAAAGTGGGTGTAAGACTGTAGTATAATATAATAGTTCCTAACTAGGCTGATGCGAACATTACAGATTGAAAGCCCAGTGTCACTGAGGAGATATTCAATAACCACATCCTGTTTCCACAGTACTTTAATACTGTAGTTTCACATCACTAACATCTTGCCTACAGTACCCCCACAATGTTAAGACCAAGCAGCACTCAAGATTAATTTTATGCCTTTACCATTAAATTTTATGTTGTACACATGGTACATAGCAATATAATGTAGTCAGTGGTGGAGGAAGTACATGAAAGTAAAGTACAGTAGAAAGTGCTGATAGTGAAGCATAAGTGAAAAGTACCTTCAAAATGAATCTACTCAAGAAAGCGTACTTCATGACATCCCATCACTGAGTATAGTACAGTTGTGTAGGAGGCAATGAAACGGCTCGTTTTACTTCTACACCAAATTACTCTAAACATCAGAGCAGATGGTGAAGCCCGCACACATGACATGCTGGGATCCATCTGGATAATATTCTATAGCAATTACTTTATACACTTCTGTTACACTTGCTGTAATAAGTGGAATAACTGGTTCCAGAAATGACCTATTTTCTGTGTAAATTCACATAATTAAAGACTGTGGTGCAGCCAAATATATAATCAAGCTGCAGCGCCCCCTACTGTACAACTGGAGATTCCATGACATCTTCAGTCCTTTTATTTTGTTTTCTGATTTTTTATTATTTTATTTTGTAGGATACCTCAATAATTTAATGATTCTATTGCATGAAATGTAAAAATCAGATAATCTTTGATGTTTTGTTATGGGATCACATTATCAGATTATATTTAAACTGTGGTTGGATTTAGATAAAACTTGACTTTAATACTTTTACTGACAAGCTAAGTCATTTCTTCAGCTTCCATATTACAAAGGATCTGCAGAACAGACAATCCCTCCCCCAAAGTGTCCCCCCCCCCACCACACACACACACACACACACACACACACACACACACACACCGTCTCTGGGTGACGAAAGAGAGAAACGTAAAAAAACAAGACCAGCTCAGTGATTTCTTGATGTGCGCGTGCTGGACTTTGTGCAGACGAGAAAAAGAAGAAACAGGAAATTGAATAAACCCGGTGACGTCATCGGCGAGCGCCTCTGCTGGCCTTCGAAATGGGCTCGACTGCTGAGCCCTGATTTCTGCTGTTTCTCCCTCAGCTCGTCAACTTGATTTTCTCCATGAGGGGAAGTCTGACCGCGATGACATGTGGAGGTACGTTCACACAACGACGCGCCGCCGGCACACGCGCGACAGGCGTCCCGAGCACAGCCGCGTTTAGCCGGGGGCAGATGTGTGTGGCGACTTCATGTAAGCTAGGTGCAGATGTGCTAGCCGTGGATGCTAAACCAGCCTGGACCTGCCCAGTGGGACGTAATGGTGACAAGTGAAGGGCCGCACGCAGCAGCAGGCGACATGTGTGCGATGTGTGATGTTAGCGTAGCAGGTGTCATGCTGTCGTTTCACTGTGATCACCGGGACATGACGAGGCTAAGCGGCGAGCTAACTTTAGCCAAGTCAGCCACTAGCTAACGGTAAATACAGCCACTGTGGAGTGTGGCGGCAACTGGAAGAAACCCCAGAATACATCTGTTACCTTTAAAGTTTTCACTAACTTTATAAAGCAGAGAGTTTCTATCTGCTGCTCGTCAGGGCTTTGACTCAGGAGGCAGCTTTAGGAACTCGGAACAAGAACACACTGGGGTCTGGTGTGTGGGCTCCTGTGAAGTTAGAGTTGTGAGTAATGAGTGAGTCTGCTCCTCACATCACGTCCAGTCACTCAACACGTTTGTGTTTACTACAGCTCAGACTGTGTTACAACCCAAACCCACAGGACTGAAGAGGATCAGCTGTCCATGATGAGTTAGACAGAACATATGGAACCACACTAAAACCAGCAGGAAGTACTGGGACTGGACGATATGATGCCAAGATTAAACGATCATTTCAGTAGTTATCGGTAGATATCACAGTAAATGTCACAATTTTGTTTCTTGTAAGTGTAAAGACAGATTTTTGCTCCTGGGTGAAGGTTGTGGTTTGAACTCTTCTTCATGAGCAGAGAGTGACACTTGATTAATGGAAAACTTTTTGACGTACATCAGTTATTGGTCCTCGCCTCTTCACAGTTTTTACAATGGAAGCAATATATTGATATATATATATATATTTGTCTTGTTTGGACTCTGATGAAAATAATCATCAATAGCAATAATTGATATTGTTTGATACTGCCCACTGTGCCCAGCTCTAGATTTGCTGTTTGCTCGTGTATAGACAGACATTTGTGTATTTGAATTGCTGTCATGCAAAACTTAGGGCTGGACGATAAAATAATATAAATAGTAATCATAATATATCTGTCTATATTTTTTTGACACGTTTTAACTTTTTAAATGTGACAAATTGCTGCATCTTTTGTAATGTTTGTGATAGTTAATGAAATGTAATGTGAGTTTTGGACTGATGGCCAGAAAAGGCCATTTTAAGGCCTCGCCTTGGGATGACAGAGGTTTAAATGGGAATCTTACAGTACTTGTTCACACTGTACACTTTGTGTGTGGAATATTACTATAGTTTTCTAGTGTGTAACAACCTCTTTATATACAGTCTATGGTAACAACCCAAAATACATCACATGTTTTAGAAAAGCAGCAACAGATCACATGTTTAGTTTTACAGTTTTATCAACTTCTTTGATGAAGTATTGTGAACTAAAGTGCATGTAGATGGACATTTTTAAAATGTTTCAAATATCTTTCGAATACAAAATATAAAGTGGCAAAAGACTGAACTGCCTAAGGGCAGATACATATATGCACTAAATAAACACATGTACTAACACAACAGACTTTCTAACATTGGTTAGAAAGTCTTTTATCTCAGGTGATATTGTGCTTAATTGTTTTTTTGACAAGTATAAAAATAATTTAGGAGAATTGTGACGAGCCAGTATGTCTATCTTTTCTATTTTTTAGGTGAATTGGCAGACAAGGTGAGCCAGGTGAATTCAGAACTGGTTCCTGTGCCGGCTGACTGGCCTGCAGTTCCTGTCGGTTCCTGTGCAGTACAGTAAAGCAACTTGCTCAGTCAGACAATCATAATGAAACCAGCTCAGGAGCGGAACCAGGAGTCCCTGCCTCCGAAGAAGAGGGACCTCCCACTTAGCAACAGCGGTGGAGCTGGAGCGAGCGGGGGAGCTGGGGCTACAGGTGGAAGTGGTGCTGGTGGTACAGGTGGGGGTATTGGAGAAGATGAAGTGGTTTCCATCCAGAACTCTGCAGCCAACAGTGACACTCAGGGAGGGAACCCATCTGCAGAGTGGCTGCGAGCTCAGCAAGGACTTCATTATGGAGTGGATAATTCTGATGGCATACCAGCAGTCCCCGTTGACCAGTACAGCATGCTCTACAAAGTGGCGCTTCCATCTGTTACCTACTCGCCTACCAGTCTTCACCCAGTGTTGAGCCACATCTCTCCAGCCTACACTGTTCATTCTCCTCTCCTGCAGCACCCAGGACTTCCCTATCCTCCTCTTGGTTACACCCAGATCCCTCACTCCTCTCTGCAGTTTGTTAGTTCCCCATATGCAGCGGTACCTTACGCTCTCGCCCCTGGCTTTGTCCCAGGATCGTTAATCTCTCCTTCAGGCACCATCTCTCAGCCCCACTCTGTGTCCCACCTTGTTCCCTATCCATCTGTCATACAGGAAGGTGTCGTTTCCCCACCTCCCCAGGCCCAGGTAGCTGCTCACACCTTTGCCAAAGTTGCAGCATCCAGCGGTGTCCCGATGATGCTGCCGCCAGAGCAAGCTTCCCAGCAGCACCTTGGTACTGTAGGTGTCCTGCCCACAGCCGAGCTCAGCTCTCGAGGGATGCCAGTCTTCTACCACACTCAGGGCGCCAGGGCTGCCGTTGCCATCCGAGACCCCCACGGTGCCCAGCAGGAGAATGAACCAGAGATGAATGGTAGGGATAAAGAGCAGGGAGCCCGGGAGTTTGCACTGGACTCGGCCTACGCTGCCAGAAATGCACGTCTGCTGCAGGTAGCACCAATCACTGCAGCACAGGAGCACAACCAGGACAGAGGTGTGCAGAACCGAAGGCTGGAGGAGAGGAGCTCACCTGGCCAGCGCAGCACTCCCGACAGTGACCTGGAGGTAAGACACGTCGATGGCCTCATAATGTGAATCCAGCTAATATGAATATTCCCCACTGTTAGCAGAGGTGATGGTAAAATCCACGTCAGTGCAAAAATGTTCAACATGATGAACAGAACTAAATACACAGGGAGCTCCTCGCTGCAACATGTGTGATACCATTACTTTTACACATCTAATAATGAACGACATTCCCACTGAAGAAACCAGATTGCTTAATTATTTCTAACTTTGTTAAAATGAAATTCAAGTGTCCACAGACCCCTGACTAGAAATGCACTCTTTAACTGATTGACAAAATGAGGACATCTTTATAGCTTAAATAAACTTAACTTAAATGAAATAATACATCGATAGAGGACAATATATTTATTTTGTGGGAAAAGTGTGGTGTAGCTATTAATATCAACAATGAGTTTTCTTTTTTTCTTTTTAAAATAACAATTAAATGTGTGTAAATACTTATTAATACAGTCTGTAACGAATTAAATATAATATAAAAGGTATAGGTAAGTATATTTGCTTTTAATGTTTTTCCCATGCTAAAACTTTGATCTCAAGTTGTGACCTTTAGCCTCTAACCACCTCGCCAAGTTTAATCCACTTTTGATTAAAACTGCCTGAGACATTGCTGTGACAGACAGATCCCACTATTTTCAATACAACTGCCCACTACCATGTAGCACGGGTCTAATTGACTTCTGTCAAACACTTAATCCTTGTAGTAGTGATACTTGCGTGTTAGAAAAATGTAAATGTCTCATTTCATCTGCATTATTATTGGAAATGTGGAGTGTGTCTCCATTCTACACTTTCACACCTCAGTGTTTATTTATAGAATATGTTAAGTTTCGACTCTGCTTCCTTCCTGTATTGTGTGCTATGGGTCTGTAGGTAATTGTTTGATCACTCATTGCCCAAAGTGTCTCATTGTTCCAAAGCTGTGGTATTTGTGGTTTCATTGAGATGCTCAGTGAAACCCTCAGTGCTTCTTCAGTGATGGTGCTCAGGGGAAGGAAGTTCAACAGCAAGTAGAATAGTTTTCTGTAATTCAAACATTTGGACAGTGTGAAATTGTGCCATAAGCCATGTTTAAATTGTTCTGTCTTTCTGAAAAATCTAAATGTGTCTGACTGAAACGTGCTACCTCTGCTCAACTTCCAGGTGCAGCAGGTGGTTGGACGTTTGGCTTCCTCTAACCAAGGTGGCAGCGGAGTGCGGAAAGAGGTCTCCTTCGCTCCCTTGAACCTCTCTCAGGGTCCCCAGAGATCCAGAGATGTCCTTGGAGAGAACACGGGCATCACTTTCAGCCGGACGGCGTACGCGGTGCAGCCTGCGAGCTATAGTGACCCTAGAATGACCAGTCTCCAGCAGCAAACAGGACAACATGCTGTTGTGCTTGCTAATGGGCAACCAGTTCTTATTCCCCTGGAGTATCACCTGCAGCATCAGCCCCAAGCACCACAGCAACACTACCCAGAAGTGGCAAATGATGCCTCAGCCAGCCATGCCTCTACCACCATGGCCTCTTTCAACCCAAACTTTAAAGCCTCCGATTCTTCAGCCAGAGTGTGCCTCTCTGAAAAGGCGGAGCCGCCCACAGCGCAGCAGCAGCTTGCCCATCATCCTCCTGTCCAGCCTACAGCAGATGTAAATCAGGCCTTAGCTTCAAGCCTCGCTCCCACGCAGACTTCCAGCAATCCGTCACACTTCATGAAAGGCGCCATTATCCAGCTGGCAACTGGGGAACTGAAGCGTGTGGAGGACCTGCAGACTCACGACTTTGTGCGGAGTGCGGAGGTGAGTGGGGGGCTTAAGATTGACTCCAGCATGGTGGTGGACATCCGTGTAAGCCAGCAGAGACCAGGTCTCGTGTCGCTTCACTTTACTGTTGGTGAGCAGCAGAGCAAAGTGACCATTGACGTGCCTCCGGAGCACCCCTTTTTTGTGTTCGGGCAGGGCTGGTCGTCCTGCAGCCCCGAGCGCACGGCCCAGCTTTATGGCCTGGCTTGCCATCATCTGCAGGTAGGAGATGTGTGTGTGTCCATCACCCTGCAGCAGCAGCAGCTTCAGCCTCAGCAGCAGAAACAACCACAGCACAATCATTCACAGCAACAACAGCAGCAGCAGCAGCAACAGCAACAGCAACAGCAGCAGAACCTGTCCAGGACTTTGAGCAAAACCAACGCCACATCAGGACTTGGTCATCAGCTCATGGGGCCTCCTGCCCCCCAGCAGTCACGGCCTCAGTCTCATTTCAGGATAGACCGCAGCCACAGAGAAAGACAGAGGGATGGGGAGAAAGACATGGCTGATAAGGAGGAAGCAACATATTTGGGGGTTGTTGGCCACACTGAGTCGCCCATCAGACCAAGTAGGACCACAGCGGAGCATCCGAGGAGCCAGAGCAGTTACCACTTGCACACAGAAGGCTCTGCTTTTGCAGGGGCGGGGATGGGAGCAATGCATCCTTCGCTCAGTGCCTCTCAGAGACGCTGGTCCTCACCTGGCCTCCAAAGATACAGTATGAAGGGAGACGAAGGGCCACGCCCTCAGATAAGCAACTCCGGCCACATAAGGCCCTCGTTCATCCCCCAGGAGGTCAAACTGTCCATAGAGGGGCGCTCTAATGCAGGAAAGTAGCATCACGTTTGGTAGCAAATATAGAAGAGACTGCCATCAGTAAGAATGAGTCTGACAAGGAGAGAAAGAGGAAACAAAGAGTGTGAATGTAGCCTCAGAATGTTTGAGATTTTGCACACCTAAAAATTTACAAAAATACAAGATCTTTCTGTGTCTGGTGAGAAGTTCTGGTTTGTTTTGGTTGTCACTCGGCCAAAGGATCGGAGCCAGTGCTTTCCCAGCCAGCTGAGGGCTGATGGGGACATGAGAAGCTGAGTAGAAAGTATGTAGCTGACTACCATAGTCCTTACACACTGCAATTCTCTTCCTCCCTCCCTCCCTCCTTTGTCGTCACTTCCTCATACCTATGCTTGGAGGTTCCCATCGCATTCAAAACTGTCTCACTTCCTTTTTGACCAAACTGTCTCTTTGGAAGACCACGGACTACAAAGAATGTTTGTAGCTCAGTAAAGCTACCGACTCTGCAAAGATCACAGCCAGGGATCTTTTATCTCCATTCCCAGGATCCTGTTTACTTCAAAAGCATTTACCCAAAAAAAAAAAAGAGTGGAGTTGCTGATATCAGCATCACCTCTGGTGATGTCGGCGCTGTTGACGCTAACTGTGAGGAGTCTGAAAACCTCTACTGTCATCAGAGATTCCTTCCCCCCTTCTTCCTCTTGTTGGTCTGCAAGGAATGGGGTTCTCTCTCAGGCCTCAAGTGCAGCATGTCCTGCTTGTCTTACAATCGAAATAACGATGAATCAATCAAGTCTTGTCTATTCTGCAATCAGTGTCAACTCCAAAAAATATATTTGCTTTTATTACACACCATCACTCCCTCCGGTTTAGATGGAGGGCCTTAAAGAGTGGGTTTGTTTGCATGAATGCCGCAGATTGAAAATTGTTCACATTGGGTATTAGAAATGTTTTGCATTTACCTTCATCCTCTTTCAGAATCATGCCCCCCACCCCCCACCTCCCGCCTCAAGATAACCTTACCAAAGCCATCTGTGGGAGTGACAGCACCCTGTCACATCACTGGCTGTGCAGCCCACTTCAGCCTAAACCCTGCATGAAGAGGTCTCTTCGTCCTCACCTTGAGTTCCTCTTGCTCAGTTACCAAAATTAAAGCAATAGTTCTTTTACAGCTCGTGGCTTTACCGCTCTCTAATCCTTTGGTTTTATATTTCTAAACATCAGAGGTATGAGACCCTCCTGACCCTCTTTTAACCCAGACTTTGAAAGCTGATGCACTATTCATCTTTATTGATTTGTCAGTCGTTCTACAAAAGCAAATCCTTTTCTTCAGAAATGTTTGTAGATAAACCTGCTCGTCTTTGAATTTCCATCTCACCAATGATCTTTTATTTTACTCAAGTACATCTCCAAGAGAGACTTGACTCTAATTAAGTTTTGATCATGATCAAGTTCTCTTCTGTCTTTTGTTTTTAACATTTAACATCCTTCGCTTTTTGTACCAGGATATCTTATCCAGTGTATCTTATGATTGTCTCGTGTTGCACATAGAAACTGTCACTCATTGATTTCACACTGACCTTGTTAATAGGAATCACAGCCCAGTAGGTGTTTGTTTTTTAATGAAGGGAATATGTTTGAAGTAATATTGCTTTGTGGCATGTGCGCAAGAGAAAGAAACAACTGATGTGCATTTTCTCTGTTTACAAATTAGCCAAGATGAATGCTGCAGTTTCCTCCTCCTGAGGTATCATTGTCACTCGAAAGATCTGAAAGGGTGAAACAGAAAATAAGTGCAATTAGACCACACATAAAATCATTGAGGTTTACGATCAGATAGCATTCCTCACGCAGACATTCCCATCACAAAATAGAAATCACACACTTCTCTTGTTTTCTGTCATCGATCTTAAAACTAGCCTCTGTGAGAACATTTGACTAGGTTTCAATATTTCTTGCTTTTTTCTTTTATTTCTTTCCCCTGTCAGTTACATGGTCGTAAAGTTGTGTGGGACTAATGTGTTGAACTAGTTTGTCCATCACCCTCAGACACTGTTGTGAACGTCTGTTCCTCTCTGAAGCCATCGTGGTTCACTGAGTAGAACACCCTGACCCTCTGTCAGCAGACAGAGGCGCCATGAGGTGACGTATCAGACAGGGTAACCTGAACCGGCCCCTGGTGCTGTTACTACGAGCAGCTTTAAAAGACGGCTCCACATTTTTCCAGTTCTGTTTTAAAACAGTTCTCTGATGCCCGTAAAGACTTACTGCTCGCTGTAAACATTCCTCCTGTGTTCAGTGGCTGCGTAAAGATTACTTCCTGATGTTATTCCAGTGTAAGTGATATGGGACTAAACCAGCTTTCATGTTTTTGTTTATTAAAGCACCTCAAGTTAATATGAGACTTGAGCAGTCACAGATGAATCAATCTTTCAAATTTATCATGGTATGAAATTCACTCTTTATTTTACTGCTCCTGTGCTGCTGCTCAGCAAGAATACGCTGTCATGGGAAACGCAGGGAGGGAATTTCATACTAGAACTAGAGTGGCAATCAGTGTAATGTGCATCTCCAGCCAAGACAAAAAGCCCCAGTAGATTAAAATAACCAGCTACAAATTTCACACGCTGGTAGAAATCACTCCCCTTAATATTCCTGATTTTTTCATCCAGTGGTGAAATGCTAAAAATAAAAAAAGAAGCCCAATTTCACAATGTAAACAGAGGAGAAAAAAAGATTCCTGGATCCGCCCCTTGGTCTGGAAAAGTGCCAACATTTCATGGGTTCTTTCTTGGCCCACGTCCCGTCCTTCCATAAAGTTTTGTGGAAATCTGTTGAGTAGCGTTTGTGTAATCCTGCTGACAAACAAACAATATCTCCTTGCCAAAGGTAATTTCTACCTTCAGATGATTCACCCACATGATTTCAGTACAACTGCTTAAAATTCTTATCAGCTACAGATTAACTGTCAATGCATTTACTCACAGAACTTGCTTCTCCGGAAGAATGTGCTTCACCCCATCACTTAAACTGGAATCCCATTTGGAATAGATCACTGCAAGGCCAATATTAAGAAGAGGAACGTTTACAATGACAAATAAATCTTTCTGTGTACTTTCAAAGTACTATAGACCAACTAGTGTTTTGGTAAAATCAACTGGAAAAATGAGAACTTGATCTTTAAAAGGGTGTGAAATGGGAGATTCATTCAGAAAATGATTGAGTACAGTTTTAAAACATCTTGCCATCCAAAGCTCAGCCTGTATAATTTCTTCTTTTTTCATGCTTTAAGCAATATGCATAAACCTGATATCATTTCATGTAGTCTTGGCATGTTCTATGCAGTAACCTCAGTGTTGTACCCTTCAATGTCTTAAACACAGCTCTTTGAAGCTGTAGGGCAGGTTGTCAGATGCAGTCATTTCCCGTTAATGTCTGGTTATAGGATTTTTACTTCCAATAGGAATATACACCAGTATTTTGCTTTGTTACTTTTCCTCTATCAGTGGTCCCCAATCTGACGCATCACGTTCTCCTTTGTCTTCTTACGATGCTACACAGTCGGAGCCAAATCACTCAAGACGGGCATCACTAAGATGTTCACGTGTTTATTCAGCATTAGTTTGGTACAACTGCCAAGCCACTTCAACATCGTATTACTAGGTCAAGATGCATTTAATGGGATTCAAACGGTGCAAAGCAGTGCCTCCTGTGACTTTACCTCCTGCTAATTCTCACAGCATGACCATCGTGCGCAGCCATGAGCCCTCTGCTCTGAGCAGTGTGCGCTCGACTTCTACAAAGATGTCCAGGGAATCGTCTTCACATCTCTGATAGTCTGTCGCTGTCTGTAATTGCACTAAACGCCCTCCTTTACAGTGTTTTTTTAAATTGAAAAAACAGTTGACAAATTGAAGAGTTTCAAAGTGAAAAGCACACGAAATCAAGGAGAAATCACCGGTTGTGTGTTTGTGTAGATAAACGCATATTCTTTTTTTTTTGTATAGTTTTGAAGATGCTTGTCAATAATGCCTTAAATTCTGCTGTGTACAATGTGTGAAATTGAAATAATGGAATAATGCTTCTGGTAGACTCTGTATTGCCCCTTCAGGCTCGACACTTTTCACGTTTCTCAGCAGAAACTCTTCTTCAGATGTCTCAAAGGGCGACAGTGAATCTTCTTTGGTCCTCAGACCATGAAGTCTACAGTACTTTTTGTTCATGTGTGTGGGTTTCCTCTTTTTTTAATTTTCTATTCTGTTTTCTGCTTCTTTTTTTTTAATACACTAGATACTTTTAACATTTAGCTTCTAGTTTTCAGTGTGTGCAAGTGAAGTGAATGGAAGCTCTTCTGTGCGCTTTTTACAAGATGATGCCAAGAGTGTCAGCAACAGAGGGCAGTCCGTTGATTCCACACACACACATGCACATCTGTTGTTTTTATTGTTGTTGCACAAGCTCTGCAGTTTTTTATTTTATTTTATCCCAGGAATTAATGGGTTGTGTTTGGTGTCATGTGTTTTGTCCAACAGTCACTGGACAGCAGAGGGTGGGTTTTAATTCAGAGACAGACCGGCTGCATCAATCCGATATGTAGCATTGTTGGCAATGTGATGGTTTTTCTAATGTTATGTGACGTTTGACCCAGTATTTGAACTGCAAAGGTGAATTTAGGACGGTTTTGTTGTTTCTGATGTCAAATTTAAAATCAGGAGAATTGAATGGTTAAAAGTTTTAAAGAAGTCTGTATTTTCAGATTTGACATTGTACTTTTTTGGCACAAAGTGACACTGCTTTTTATGTGATGTGTAACCATTGAAAAAACGAAACAAAAAACAGCATCTTTTTTTTTTTTCTCTAAATGCCTAAATCTGCAAAATATATGCAATGATGTATGTGTAACATTCAATCCTCAAGTATAATCCAGGTTGTATGAACTTTGTATAGTGAGTTTTAATATCGTATGGCCGTACCAATATGTATTGATCTTTATCAGAAGCCTTAGAGTTGTCGACCCAAAGTGCTCCCTTAGAATACCCTACACCTACCTGACTTTAACAAAGCATTAATATCTCTATTTTGTTGCATTTTTATTTGTACCCTTTTTGAATAAAATAGATTTGTACTGTATATTTGTACCTCTCTGTGAACTACTTAGGGCGGTTTTTGGTTCTTTTGTTTTGCTGTTTTAATTCTATGTAAGGACACAAAGATATTGTATTTTTATTGTTACAGCTAACTTGGAGACATTGCATTTATCATGTTTGTTAAGTAAACACAATATAATATATATATATATACAAATATAAATATAAACTATTATCCAAATGGTCTGCTGTGTTTCTTTAGTCCCATTTATGTTCTTACTTGTTTTAGAGGTGGTGGAAGTATTGATGTTTTACTAAAATGAAAGTAGCAATAAGTAAGTTCATTTCTGAACAAGTTCAAAAGCAAAATATAAAATTAGATGTAATACTGAAGCTGATGAAAAGGCGATGATTTAACTACAAATACTCAATCTGAACTGAAAAGAAAAATGTTGGACCAACTTTAAAAACAAACAAACAAAACTTCAATTGGTAACAAATAATGAAGTTTATATATTCAAGTTACATTCTCACAATTGATAAAATAATATTATTTTACTTTTTTCATATAGAAGCCTCTAATCGCTTTATAGTAGTAATAACTGAATGTGTAATCATAAAATAGAGCCACGACTTGATACTTAATATTGAAACTTAAATGTGACTGAGTAAACTTAATTGACAAATTTACTTTGAAAACAAATCAAAATTTAAAAAATGTTTAATCTTTACATTTTTTGAAGTTTTACTTTTTAAAAACTGCATCTAAATGGTTCAATTAGTCAACTTCTTAACTATAATTTCAAGTCTTGGTTATTAAGTATCTTAAATTAAGAGAGGATTTTAATTAAGAAGCAATCTGCATATAAACATTTTCTTAATTTTTGTTGTCTCTCTTATCTTTGTGTTTTAAATGATTGCTTTGATCGGTGAAGCACTTTATAATCATGTTTTGTATATATATATATATATTGGATATATAGCATTCAAATGCTGTTAATGTTGTGGCATTGAATTTCAATACTTATGTTTAATTCACTATTACATATAGTTGTTTATACATACAAATAACATAGCTGTTATTTGCCTGTTTCTATATTGAATTTAAATTTGGTGCAATGAAAGAATAAATAAGAACTGAAAAATAAAATAGAAACCACCCACACTTGCAATTCTGGGAGAAGACCTGTATGTGTTAAATACTTGTTTGTGTGACAGTGAGTCCATAAAAGCAAAGAAAGGCCACAGAGGAGGAAAATGAAACTGGACACTGTCATTATAGTAAAGTCGATGTTTATTTCCACATTCTTCACCATGTTTCATCGTGGTCTGTACATCTGTTAATCCAGTAACAGAGGATGGCGCCCCCAGAGGCCCATCCAGTCAGAATGCATTGATATCACAGCGAGCGTGAATGTTCTCAATTGCAGTTTAGCTCATTCATTTGGCCTTGATCAGCGAGATTTGTTCTGTAAACATGGACATCGAGAGAAAATCCTGATAGAATTAATATAGAAAGGCCAACGTCATCAACGACATTGTTCTTTTGATTTAACTGTAAAAAACAGGCAGGCATAAACTAACAGTAGAACACAAGCTCATATTTAACCATTCTAGGACAAGTGCAGTTTTACGACATGCAGTGCTTATTTAATCCAGGCTGAGCGTACTGCTTGTAAAGACGTAGCTCCAGGGTTCGTCGTACTTTCCTTAGCATGAGTATTTCAGACGCTGAGGTTTTCTGTCCTGTTATTCTGCTGCTGTGGGACAAAAGGGATCACAGCAGTTTTCTAAGAGCAGCCTCTGAGAATACCCAGAATTCAGTCTGAGAGAAGTGAGACCTGAAGCCATTGTCGAGAACACTGATCTACCCTTGGTGCAGTATGTCATGAGTAGGATGGCAGTGAGACCCTGTTGCTCTCGTGCTGAACTATGAAGAGAAACCGTATTTCAGGAGGCAGACTGTCTCCGGCTCACAAAAGCCCAAAGACTCAAGGCCTGTCCCCGTCACATCATATGATGGATCTATAAATGATTCTTATGGACCAGGGTGTTGTATCGAGGCTCTGAACCCTCTCACTGAGTTAAATTGCCTGAGAAGCTAAACTCTTAACATTGAAGTCCGTTTAAATTAAAGTCGCATTCTGCATAGTTTCAGGGAAAAGTGAGTTCATTTCCCTTGGAATAAATAACACATCTGTTGCATAGAGGTTTGATGCACTCCTAGAAGAGTCTCCGAGGATGAGACACAAAAAAAATCCCAGTTTGAATTTCTTTTTCATTCGTTACATTTGCTGTAACAAGCAGCCAGGTAGACGGCCCCTCGTCTAGGAGTGACTCAAACAGGACCAGCACTCGTCCCCCGTCTCTGATAATTGTAGAAGTATCTGACGCTATGAATGTTTGCATCTGGTGAAGTCAAGAAAAGCTGGAGGTAACTTTACAGGCAGGATATTAAAACACGGGATCATCCAAACATGGCCTCTAACTCAAAACATTCATTAAAAGAATTTTATACCACTTGACGGAAACGGAGTAACCCAAATATTTCCACAAGAAAAATATATTCACATCATATTGCATAAATATGTGCTGGAATGAGGTCAATGAATACAGATGAATAACATCTCTCTCCCAGTATGGACTTGAAATTAGCCTCAGTGCTCGGTAGCAGATGGGGAAATTTAAAAAATCAGAATGTGAGGTTAAATTAATTCCCACCTGTCGTGATTCAATAGTGTTTCAGCAGACAGGGAAGATATAGGAGAGTGGTACTGTTTAGAACTTTTGAAGGTACTGCAGCCTCACACAGCATGTGAATGCTACACAAGTTGCACGAAGCAGAGGTTGCATCATCTGTGTATCACCCCCGACAAAGTAATAACCTTTCATATTGTAATTTATCCATCATCAGGAAAACAAATGCATCTTTATGGGCAGAGTTCAAGTAATGAGACAAGTTGAGTGGTCACATGGGTAACATATTCAGGTGCTGTTCCACTTTAACAGAACGTTTAAGCACAATACTCATAATGTGACTGATGAGCCCAAAATACATAAGAGGTAACTAATGTATTGTACAGTACAAGAACAGCAGCAGTTTCTAAGAGCCCAAGAAATGCTCTGTAACAGAAAGTCAAAAAATATATATGACACTGGCGAAAAGGTTTAACAGCATAAAGAAAAACAAATGTTGGCAAATGAGAATGTAAAGAAGCGAATGTACAACTCAGGAGATGAGGGGGAATGTTGCTCGACACTGGGCGAGTTCAATAGGACAAAACATTCAGAGTGTGTCTGTTAAGAAACTTTATCATCAAACCTAAGACATTTGTGTAGTACTGGTGTGTTTTTGTCAGCTGCTCCTCCCTGTGAATGTTTGTGTCCTATTAAAGTGCCTGAGTGATAAATGCAAACACAAACTGTGGGAAAACAACCCGTCCTCTGTAGAAGTGTACAGTACATGTAGAGCTTTGGAAGCTTGCAGTTGGAGTAAGCCACAGGACAAAGGACGCCACCACGGCGCCGGCTGAGGTAGTAGTTTGACTGAATGTGAACTTCCCAGGGACCCACGGTGGCAGCTTGAAGAGAGAGGTGTAGCTACCGGTAAACCCGAGTCACTGGGCTGTCGGAGTGGACCAGAGAGGAGGGGGCTGGGGCTACAGAGTCCCCGCTCCCTTTACTGAAGGTCCATGTGCAAAAGACTTTTTTTTCCCTCTAAGGAAGTACAACTGCTCCTACTAGAATGAACTGTGTTAAATCTGAGAGTCCACAGAAAAAAAGATAAATCTCTTTACAACATGCTTTTATGTCATCATCCATACAATATGAAACATTCTCAACCCTGTTTCCAAGGTTTTCTCCACTGTAATAAATTAGAAACTGATGTAGTTTTTACTGTATTCAACAAACAGTTTGTGTGAATCTGTTCGACACAGAAGACGCTGGGAGTAAACCAGCGAGGAATGTTTTTGCTGTGACCACGACAGCCTGGAGGTTAATGATGCTGTTCAGAAGCCAGTTTGTCATAAAACCCTTCTCCCAGAGGCCCGGTGCGATCAGGGCAGCTTCATGAACAGACTGTTATCAATGGAAGGGACAGGCATAGGGCAGGGGAACTGAAAGAGACTCATGTCCGCTGTGAGCGCAGCCATGGCGGCGGGATCATGCTCTATCTGTGTCCTCAGAGCAGGGTCGATCTTCTCCAGTCGTCGCTTGATCCTCTTCGCCTCCCTCTCACGGATCAGCCTAGCCTGCCTCTTCTCCGGCGTCTCGTTGGCCCTCTTTAAACGCATGGCCTCCCTGTCTCTCTGCAGCCTGCGCGCCCTCTGGTCCTCGCTCTCCTGCATCCTCTGCATGCGCTTGGCCTCGCGGTCCCTCAGCCTCCTCAGCTCCTTCTCCTCGTCCGTCTCACAAGCCCTCTTGTTCTTCTTTGCCGTGCGCTCGCGCTCCAGACGCTGCATGCGAGCCTCCACGGGTTCGTTCTTCCTACGCAGAGCCCATTTTCGCATTGGCGACTGGGCCTCCACCAACTGCTGATAGGCAACGCAGCTGTTGCACACCAGCAGAACCCCAGCAGGATACACCGGCATGGGGCTGAGTATGTCAGGGATAGGAGGAAGGCCTGAGGAAGAGGAGTTAAGTGCATCAGGGATAGATGCGAGTGACGGCCCTTCAGAGAGGAGACTGTCGGACAGCGAGGGAAAGGCAGGTCCTTGGTCAGAGCCTGTGCACTGTCCTGGGCCTGAGCATGATCCAGAACCCAGGCCGTGACATGACCTGGGGCCTTGACACTGGCTCGAGATGTGGCCTGGTCCCTGGCAGGTGCGATGGGCTTGACATAAGTTGGGGCTTGGGTCAGATGCTTGACATGGGCGCGGACCCTGACATGAACTTGGGCTGGGGCCTGGTCCATGGCAGGAGCGAGTGCCAGAGCCTGGGCTGTCCATGGGGCTACTGGAGAGGGACGGGGACATGGAGCAGGCGTCTCTTGCACTGACATCCATCCTGTTTGTTTCAAGGACATCTTTAAGCTTCTCCCTGTGATAGGACACAACATTAATCAGCTTGGTAAAAGCAAAAAAAACCAACCTGGAGTCGTTCTTAGAAGCAGCAGATCCCTGACTCAAGGTCTCGACTCAAGGTTCTTTTTGAAACTGGCCTCCCAGGGGTCAGTTCTCAAAGATGTGTCTTCAAATTGAACTGCTAAAAAGTCAATATTATTAAGGGTGTAGTCGTAAATTCTGTTTTAACTCTCAAGACACCAGTATATTTGGGCGCAGTCATCTCCTACATTCTTTATCTCCCAAATCATATCACTAACAATCAAACTGATCAATTCATGCTTAAAAAAAGTATTTAGCAAAGGTTGAATAAATCATTTTATATGAAGTATTGTTGAAATGGAATATTTAAACATTTAGTGGCCTGCCTTGAATTCTTCTTAGTCACAAACTTTAGAACGGTCAGTTTAGGCCTTGTCTATAATTGACATGACGTGAAACCGATTTGTTTAAATGGGAAATGACGACTCATTTCATCTGATAATTATTTTACAGATAAGGAACACCCTGTGTCTTGTGAAGAAGAGTTGGGTACACTGGTAATGGCCTGAGTGGTGGCAGATTACAACCCTAACAAAACCTTTATGCTACTTGCTATTATTCATAGTTAATTACAGCTAAAACAATGACAACATCTAAATAGGTTTTCCACATTTCACTAACATGCAGTTTCTGTAGATCTGTGCTCAGTTTATATTTACAGTATATCTCCGACCAATGAAGGATCATGAATGTTCTATTTTCTCGGCTTCTCACAGTGTCTCTCCCTCTGCTGTGTGTGTTCTGACCTTGTCACTGCTGTTTGAATTTGACATTGTAGTTGGTAGGTAATGCTAGTTGCTAAGCAACATGTACGTTTACTGCCATTAAATCAGTCCTTCCCGTAGCAATATATTCAGTCATGTCACATCAGACATGTTCTGCATACGACCAAATATCCCACCCTGAGAACCAGTCCTCCGTTGTGTTCCAGTGTGTTACTGAAGAAATATAGTCAGCTTTTGATCACCTCTCTGAGAACCAAAAATAAAACCTCCATTAAACCAAAATATTTGTCTTATGAAAGACGGTGATTTGCAATTTCTGGATTTTTGAACAGTCCTGCCAAAAAAACATTTTCTCCTGCTGAATCACTGATGTGCTGCCTTTTTATATGCTGATAAAAGGATCTGTTGTAAGTTACTGAACACTTAGATAAAGTTACAAGTGAAAATATGATCCGTCACGAAACAGAGGTTGTGTATTTTAAATTATTCATAGTGAATTATTATTTACCTGAAAATTGTGGAAGCAGCTGACTTTACAGTTTTAACTCCAGTCAAATGGTTAATTGTTGATAACATGATTATTTAAAGAAAACACAGAAAATTCCGGGGCACAAGGAAAACACAGAGCTGAGCCGAACCTGTTAAAGTTGTTAATGTCTGTGAAGCGTGCGCCGCAGACAGCGCAGTTGGAGAGGCGGTCCTCGGAATGGATGAGAAGATGCCGTCCAAGTGAGCCAGGCGAACTCAGGGCTCGCCCACACACTGGGCACACATAGCTCTTGGTGTTGCTCATCATGGCCGTGTGCTGTTAGAGACAGCAAAACAAAATGAGAATAAAAGAAAGACGTTTAAAGTAAGAGTCAGATCTCAAAACTTAAAACAAACCAATTTAAATCAAAGACAATTCTTCATATACTGTTGATTAAGTCAAATACTTTTCAGCTTGTGTGCATTACCAACCATGATGGAGAAGATGATTAATTATGGCTGTGAAATATTGAGGAGCAACATGTTTTTAAAATATAGATGATCAATGATTTAAAAAAAAAAAACTACATACATTTCTAATGCACTGTACTGTAGATATTTAAAGCAAATCAATGTTTCATCAAAAGAAAACTAAAGCATCTGATTAGCTTTATTGTTTTATCAATAATAAATTACCACTGTAACAGTGGTTACAGTATCCATATAGTTGACATGGATTTGTCAGACTCTGTTGTAATTGCTCAACATTACGAGGGCGGAATGCACGTTCATCTTTTAGTTACTTTAAGTGCAAGGAGCAAAAACTGCCAGTCATTTGCAAAAAAAGAAAAGCGAGGCTGCGAGTTCTGCAGATGCTGAGGTACAATATAAAATTATAAAAAATTTAAAAATTAAAATTATAAAATTATAAAATCAGCTAGTGCTAACGTTTTGAAAGATTTAGTAAGTTAGTAAATTAGTAATAGTTTACGATATAATGCCTTAAAAATATTTAGCACTTATTGTGATTTGTTTTAATAACTTGAACTGTAATCAACTTTTATTACTGGTAAACCATGTCAGTCCGGTTTACTGTGGTGACTGTAATTCACTGCTTTCTGTTTTATTAAATCCTAAAACTGCTGAACAGTTAACCATGATAGAAGCACTAGATTGGATCAGACAAGTAAACACATTCTCCTTCAACCTGCACTTCAGTGAAGTACTGATGCTGAAAGCCACTTCAGGGGCTTTTAAACGCGATAACCGACCTCTACCTTGAGAGAAACACAGCAGTGTCTGTACTAGGATGGACAGATGAGACGAGGTTGTCCTCACCTGGTAGACATGGGAGATGAGTTTCTCAGGGCTGCTGAAATCCAGCGGGCAGAGAGGACAAACAAAGGTGCTGATGTGGTCTGTCCCGTCCTCACTCTCCTGTAGAAAACCAGGCCCCATTAAAAACACACCTCAGGAGAAAATCCAGTAATGTAGGAAAGTGTAAGTCCACCTACATCACAACATTTCTGCAACATCATTTTCAATCCAAAGGAATGCAATCATATCCGTGTTTATATGTGTGTATATATATATTTATATTGTGTATTTCGAGGCGGTTGATTCTGTCGCTATTCGCTTCGCTTCTTTCCAGCTGAAGCATTTCTGCAAGTCTTGCAAGATGATGTGTTGAGTGTATGAATGAGCTAAACTCTCACAGGCCCCAGTGACTCACTACGAGTGTCATGATGATGCAGTTTGCTGTCACAGATGTGACTCACACACGAGATGAAATATAGAACATTTTCAAACAGAAGGTCTGAGCAGAAAACATATTCGCTTCTGCTGAGAGGGGGTTCTATTAGAGTCTATATCAAGGCTATTAAGTGCTTGGAACTTTTATTTTCTGGTGGTTCATTTTCCAATTGGATGTTACAGATGTGTGTGTCTGCTCACAAACTGGTTGGACTCCAGTTAGTATAATTTTTTTAAGTTTTAGCAGATGAGAAGGAAACACTGTGAAAATGTGACAGGACAGATAAAAATGGAGTTGACCTCACAGTTCAAACTGTCTGCTACTTTTCTCACATGTGCAACGCATTAGATAAGAAAACCCCAAGTAAGTGGATCTGTAACTTAAAAACCTATTAAAACGGCAGCAAATACTACAGTTGCATATACTGGCACAAAGTAGAACAATTAGGTCACATTAAAAGGTGTAGGGGGGGCAATAGTTATGGCACATATGCCCTGAGCAGTAAAGGTTCATTTATACTGCCTTTACATACTAAAAGAGTCCGTTTTCAAACAATGTATCTGCCACATACTTCTGCTGCAAAGTCAAGACACGTCGACGTAGGAGGAGGTTGTGATAATGTACCTCTAAAAGAGGTACGTCCCTGTTCGTCCCTGTGCCCGGGTGAATTGACATCATATAAATGTCTGTAGTTTCTTACAAACTCCCAAAGTCTTCCCTCAAAAAGTTTCATCATCAGGGCGTGCACGAATATAGACGAAATGAATGCAGAGAACAGACAGAAGGATCTTAGCTAATATAGCATAAATGAGCCTCAATTCCCTAATTCGACTTGGGGCCCTTTTCTGAATGAGTCTACTCTCTCCTCCTGTTTCCTGTCTTTCGCTGTCACAGTCTTTTAGAGGCCAAAAACATATATATATGAAAATGAACACACAAAGATTACTGTGGTCATTATAAGTTCAGCCTGATCTTTGTTGTCTGACGTGAACACCAGCTCGCTCACCTCTTTGACTCCCGCTCCTTGTAGGCGGCACGGTGTTCTCTTGGTGGACATGTGGTCGTCAGCGGAGGTGTTGGAGGACGAGTCTTCACCGTGGTTGTCAAGGTCACTATCGCTGTCTTCTATGGAGGCAAACACATCCCTATCAATACAGACAGACAACAGAACACAGAGCAGGGCTTACTCTCACTAACACCCCTCAGTCCGAGGATGTTCCAACAGAGTTCAGCCGGTCCTCCCCTGTCCCGTCCCTCCATCCTGTACCTGTAATGCTATCCTGCCCTTGGATTTCCCGGGAGTTGTTGCTGCAGCATTCACTGTCTTCGGTGAATTCGTCCCTGCCGTCCATGTTAATAGTGTGCTGAAGTCCTGTGATGCCTGAAGTGTGGAATGGCCCTAGAGAAAGAAAAACAATACCAAGAGTAAGACACTGCAAGTTACAGTGGGCCCAGTGGACTGTTCTGGGCAGGTGACAAGGGTCAGAGGACTGGGAATACTCAACAAAACAGTCTGCATATAACGCTTAGAGCGAGATACAATACAGACTCTGGATCAGTAAGTGGAGCGTGTCCGAAAGTCAGTGGGTCGCTCCTCAAGTGCACATGCCAAAGTGTCCTTGGGCAACAGTGTCTGAATGGACTGTGATAGAAAAAGAGCTGTGTATAGAGGTGCTGTATGAATGTGTGTGTGAATGACTTGAAGTGTAAAATGCTTGTAGTGATCGGTAAGACTAGAAAAGCACCATACATAGATCCAGGGTGCATTTACCTCATTAAACCATCAACAGCTATTTTGCAATACAGTTTATATTTAGCATATGCTCCCTTAAGTATATTGTTTGAAGTGTTAAAATAATTTTATATTTAGTTTGCCGGATTAGCAAAAAAAGTTGTTCCTATCAGGTTTATCCATTAAAAAGTCCTTAAATTATTTAAAGCAAAATGTATTCTATCCCCATACAGTATACAGGTATAACCATATAATAGAAAATTACATATACTTTAAGTGACAAGGGCTTCTTATTTTTGAAGTACATTTTGACGGTGCAAAACTTTGGCATCATTGTTTGAGAAAAGGTTTAGTGTTGAATGTTGGTATATGACACGGAAGGAATACAGTTCCAAGAACTGGTGTGACGGATTGAAACTGTTAATAATAACTAGTCTTTAAGTTTGCAGTTGCATGAAAAGCTGTGGAACACATGAATGAAAAAACCACACCACTCATTTCACATAACAGAAGACTGTCTCTGTCTATGGAAACACGCTGCAATTTCCTGAACACAGTGAAGCATAGACAGAACACAAGTGTGTCTACAGAGAGACGCTGCTATGACTGTGCAGCACGGTGGCATCGCCTCTTGTTGAGGAACTGATGTCATAAATAACCTGCTTCTCAAATGATGGACCTAATAATCTCATGCCACTATATTAAGTGAAAATTAATGAATAATAAATGAAGAGAAGTCAAATTTCTACTCATAACTCTCCTTCCAGCAGGAGCGCTTTATCTCCATAGAAACAGCATCTACTGTCATGTAAACCACATGCCGATATGAATTTTTTAACACAAGTGCATTCACCTATAGCTGGGGGGGGAGGGGGTTGTTAGGTAATGTAACACTCTTAAACATTTTTAGGACGTAGCATGCATCCAGGCCTCTTAGACATCTGGTTATACACAAGACAGCACGAAAAGTGAAACCTCAGAAAAAAAATCAGCAACCTCTATTTATACAGTTCTACATTTTTCTCAAGACTTTTGGGATTCAACAAATATGCACACCATGAAAACATCTCCATCGATTATGTTGCTTTCATATGAACTCTCCGACACTGCAGCATAATGAAAGCGCAGCCAGCGAGGCGAGCTCACTGACATACGTGCACACACTTCATTTGCATCCCAACCCCCATTTTTTCACACACATATACACTCGCAGATACATGCTAGCGCTGTTCGACAGCCATGCTGCAGTCCCATGGGAGGGGGGGGGGGGCAGCCTGCACTGTTTTCCTCTAGCTAACTGCCTTGCTACTCAGTGTGTTTCTCTCTCTCAGTACCACCCACACAATGAACAGCCTGGCTCACCCTCTGTCCTCCCTGCTCGTACGCAGCTCTGAATACTTCTATATCTATACCATCGGCTCACAGGGGGAGAATAAAGCTTCATACCATGACAGCCAATATGTGGCTCTGTAACTGTGTTTGTGAAGCCACTCTTTGTTTTACACTCGCCCTGGCGCCTGCAGGAATTGATAAAATACCTCCACCTTTGTTATTATTACACTTGACCCTGAAAACAATCATTAAACTGCCTCAGTGGAGACAGTTGCATTGGATGCTCCTCTGGCATCCACACACAAGAACGTCCCGCTTCAGATAGCTTAAATCACAGATATCTCAAATCCATCTTTCTTCCCTGGTGAGCTCTGTTACCACACAGATCAGAGATAGGAGAGAGATTCTGACTTCAGTTACCTGAGTCTGACAGAAGTAATTACAGCCCCCATGACAATCCTGAGGTATTGCTCTGGCTCTCTCTGTGTGGGTGAGTTATAATATTGAAGTTTGTCAATCTGCTCTTTTGCTGCTGGTGAGAAGTTGGTGTGTGAACCCAGTTTTGCACTTTTCCCATAGATGTATACACATTCATTAGCGTTGGCAGAGTGGGTCAGAACTATTCAAACTATACTACAACAAACTGGCTGCATGGACGGCACGCAGCCAAAGATTGATGTGTGAGAGATACCCATCCCCCCGCTGCTAGAGCTCTGTCTGTACATCTGTCTCTCCTAGTCCACCCCCCCCCCAGTCTCTGCCACTGTGATGTTATCTCTGAGTCTGTGTGTCTGTAGGCAGGAGGTGACGCAGTGTCTGACTGAATCCAGACAAAGAGACAAACTCATCAGCCAACAGACACATTGAAGAGGGAGAGAGGAGGAGGAGGTTGAGGAGAAGGGTGGGGAGGGTGGTGGGGGGTGGGTAACACGCAAAACAAAACAGACAAAAGATAGAATGCCAAAACTCTACTCAAACACCAAGCACTGGGGGTCCTGATGAATTCCCCCCTTTCCTTCGCCTTTTCAGCCACAGTCCCCTCCAAAACACACAGCACTGTGGAAATCTGCAGTGCTGCCCCCCCGTCATGCACACACACAACACAACAAGAGTGAAGGGCCAGAAGTGATCAATTCTCACTCTCACACAGCTCATATTATAGAAAGCAAGATGAAGTGATAAACCAATTTTTCCTAAAGGAAGTTTGACACCATGACCTTAACTTCAATTATCTGTGGTGAAAGCAGCAAAAAAGAAACATTTACAAACTTATTCAGCAACAAGAACAAGGCAAGTGTAAGCATGCAGGGTAAAATCATCTTATTTTATAATATATTAGTTATAAGACAGGTTTTCAGGAATAAAACTTTTAACTGAAACATTATTTGGAAACTGTTAAACAAACTGATTTCTATTTGTTGTTGACCACCTCCAATCCTCCACAACTTTTATATGATGCTGTGTTTCCTGGTGGTCCTGTAAGTCAAAGTCAAGGAGGGAAACAAATGGCAAGAGAGACAGCACTGTTGCATTATTGTCTGGAATGCCGTGTGTGTGCTTTTGTGTGTGTCAGTCAGCCCGCCTGCCTGTCAGACTGTCTCCCTGCCTGTCTGGTCTGTCAGTCTGTCTGGTTTGACCCTCTTCGGGGGGGAATGTGCAATTCATACCTCAGAAGAAAAGACAGGTAAAGCAATCTTGCAGAGGAAAGTATCAATGTACAAAAACACAGTGTGTGAACTCACACTCCGGTGACACAGTGGGGGGGGTGGGTACTTGTCAGTTGAAAAATGTTACAGCGTTTATCACAGCGTGAGGCGCACTAACGATACGCCAGCATTACATTTTATTAGCCCCTCTTGTGGGTGTTCAGCTCCTACTCCAGACTCGTGCAGACGTGTTAGAGAGCAGAAAATGAGCTCATTAGCTTGCAGGGATTACTGTAGCCACAAGTGCAACATGTATTTCAACTGTAGTTTAAACAAACTATGTTTAGAAAGGAGGGCGGCAGCAAACACAACTTTAGTAGATTACAGAGGGAAATCCCCTTCTGAGGACTGAGACGTGTTGAGGTCAGCATGCTGTTCACCAACGAGGGGATTCAGGGGGCAGAGGGCCGGGGGCAAAGCCACACAGGGAGAGGGGGGGCAGGACAGGACGGGATGACACCAACAATATATCTACATCAGGGCTCCCCCAGAATTCATGTTGTTTCAATAAAATGTATTCTCCATGAAATGGAAGAGGAATCAAGATACGACAGTGAGTCTGTAACTTCAATTAATGGTTATCTCCGTTATTGATGATTCTGCAGATTGTTTTTTATCAAATAACAGAGGAATCACTGGGACAATAAATATCAGGGTAGGGACATTTCATTTCCCAAAGGCTCAGGTGACATATTCAAAACAGTTTGTTTTATCTGACCAAACAGACAAGACCTTACAAAAACTAGAAATGCACTCAGGAGCAGGGATCGGTTCCTTATTATCACTGTGGAACATTTCAATTGTACATGAATGTATATGTGCTGTCTGTATCTTTGCCAAGCATTAGCATTAAGGTAAAACTTGTGATCCCATGTTGAGACCTCAACCTTTAACAGATTTGAGAAAACAAAAATCAACAGTTCAGGTCTTGACCCTGCACCCAACCACCTTTCCAAATAGACAGATACACACCACCAATTAAAATACGCCACATAGCACGAGAGTAAATATCCAGATTACTAATCAAACTAAACCAAAGAAGCTGAATAATGTGTTTTTGCTTGGAGATTTTAAAATGATTTCAAATTCATTTGCGCTCAATTGACTAACTCATGACTTGGCAAATACCTTTAGCGACTAAAAAAGTAATCAGAAAGACATCAAACCTGTGCTGCATGCAGTGTTAAATATTCAACTTGTACTACGTTGTTAAAATGTTTTCATATCCAAAGGTTTAGGTACAGATGGATTTTACCGATTGACAAAAATATTGAAACTGTAACTGCATAAACCACCATTTCAACTTTGATCACATGTTGTGACCTTGACTTTTGATGAATTTGGTAAAAAAGAAATAATAAAAAAATCTAGAGCACAGCTCCTGACCCTAACTGCGATCAATTTGCCAAATTTCTTCCAAATTGGATTAAAGCTGCCAGAGTTATCACTGTGACAGACCTGATTACCATGAGCCTGCCTGCTACGGCCTAACTTAGGTGTACACATAAATGAATGGTGATAGTGTAGCAAGAAAAACTGAAGGTATGTCAGTGTACAGAGGAAGAAAACACTGATTTTCAGAGAACTCCATCGTGTAAAAATAAAAAAGCAATGGCACACAATTTGAATAGCTGCCACTTCAATTAGCTCTGCTGACTATCTGCTCTCTATTGCTTTCCTGTAATGAATCAAAACACGCAGCAGATCCACAGAGTGACAGAGCTGAAACGCTTGTCTGCTCTGATCACGGTTTAATATCAAACTAAACTGTGATGCCACGCAAACCCACATCTTATTTAAACCCCATGTTTTCACTGAGATAATCTACAGAGATGACACCTCAAACCAAACAGAAATCAGAAACATGGTCAGCCACAGAATAACTTACATACAAATAAAGATATGATCTACTCTTGTCCCAGCATGGCACTCAAGAGTTTGCACTAATAATCAATCTGAAATGAGAGCATGTCGGAAAGTACAATGGACACCAACGAGCATTGCTGAGTTTTTTTTAAGTAGCAACAACTGCTTTTAAATGAGTACTGCATATTGTCTTGATGCACATTTCTCATACTGACTCAGTTTTAATTTGAGTTGCATTTTAGAATTGCAGTTCAATCACTGGGCTGCTTCAATGCTGCCTCTTATTTCCATTCATGTGTACATTTGTCTTTTAAATCCTCAAGAGGTGGAATAAATTAAAAATAATAATAATCATGATACTGACTCAGGCAATTAGAAGTGAGTTTCTGTTTTCCACATTGTTCTGCACAGTGTCCAGCCTGCAGGTTTGTGTGATGCATCAATGACAGAAGCCCTGTCACACAAGCAGCGAACAGATGGAGCCCGGGATACCTACAGTCAACTCTGAAGGGGTTGCTCTGTTTTCTCCTGGACATATTACTGCACCGCTGCACAGCCACACACATGGGTCTCCTCCTCGGTTCGGCTCAGTCCAGGTGTTTCACCCCGAGGGGACGAGTCATGAAGCAAATATCGATACAACAACAAAAAAAAGATCGTCCGCTCGTTCTCATGAATAAAAAACCACCGGCGGCACCGAGGCGTCACATTCTCACAGCCGGGAATCACACCCCGTCTCCGGTCGAGCAGGGGGAGGGGGGGGTTCACACGATATCCGAGCCGAGTCGCTCCGATCCTCCGCCGCCAGCACCCGCGCGCTCACTGCAGCGACGCACGAGCTCAGCTGATCTCCAACGTAAACCCGCCGAACAGGATTATGGGATATGCAGGGGATGTTAAAGATACTCTGCTGCTGCGTTCACGGAGTGTGGGAGATAAGGCGACGATGGACCGAAACTATATATGCAAAAATATAAATAAGATTAGCCCATGTTTTATATTCGTGTATTTTGTATATTCTACCAGTCCATCAGTCGTCAATCATCCTGTGCCACAGCACAACACTTCTACTGCTTTCTCTACCAATACT